TAGAGCAGGTCTAGACCGAACAGAAGTGGCCATGTGATTGAAAGCTGGTGATGTGTGTCAGAGATTCACTACCATTTGGTTTAAGGGTTGTGGTAATTTTTTCACCTGTGCAGTCAAATAAGGACTTCATATTAAATGATAAACTGGAGTCTCCTTATTTTCTGTCTGCCTGCCATTTTACCTGTCTCATGTTTACCTCTAGAGAAGTGCCAAAATGCAGAAGAAGACTAGTGAGCATGAAAAGGTGACCAAGCTGGAGCTCACTGTCAGCAGTCTGGAGCTGGATGGACCCACCCAGGAGTTCAGTCTGGGGACACCTCGCATCAGGACGGACTTCCAAGAGTTCAACACCCCAGAGATGCCAGATCTCAGCTCTGTGACACAGGACATCTGTAAAGTGCGTACCTTTTCACATTGATTTGATTGACGCATTATCCGGAACATCAAAACCAACTTTATAATATGTTAATATGTGCCATACTCTTCTTGTGTGCTTTGTTGCTTATGATTTCTCCCTCCTTTTTTGTAGCTTGTGTCCCAGGCTCAGTTAAAGAAGACTGCCATGGCTGTTGTGCACCCACACGTCAGGCCAGAAAAAGATAAAAACAGGTAAAGTTACTCAGGGATTTATCCAACTGTCAATACCTTCACTAAGATTAGACTGCTGCTGAGTAGCATACATTAATATTAATTAATTAAGATACTCAGGCATGTGGTGTCATTTGCATATATATTTTCACTAGATTTGGGAATTTTCAGGTGGTTAGTTTTGTCAGTGTTGTCTCTTTCTAATTATGATTGTGTATTTCCTTCCATCTCATTGCTTTATTTATGCTGCTCTGATGTCATTCGTGCATGTAGCCTTTTTCGTTTCTAAATGTGTCCTAAACTTGTGCTTTTCCATCCAGTTCTCGTCCCAGCGCTGAGAGTCTGTCTGTGGTGTCTGAGAGCGAGTTCCAGAGTTTACCCAGCTACCTGAAGCAGATGGCTCTGCACAACCTCAACCAGGCAATCCACAACATCAACAAGTTCACGGCAGAGTTTCCAGGTCAGTGCCACAGTACACTTCAGAGACAATATTCAGATATTGGTATATTGATTTTTGTCTGTAACCACTTCCAGACTAATCATACATGAATGTGCTATTGGATCATCAGAAGTACTAACGGGACATTAGAGTGAGATCTCGATGTTGGAATTAGAAATGCAACCAGACCAATCTTCTTACCAACAAATAAATAAGAGATTTGTTTGTCAACAAAGTCATTATAGGTTGGTAATTATGCAAGCAAACAATTATAACTGAGTTGTTGTTTTGCTTTTGAACGTTGGGCTTTCAATAGAGGTCCCTTTTTAAAAAAGCAGTCAGTCACAGTTTTCCACTAATCCATCTATACCTTTTTTTTCTACATCTGCATTCAGCACAAAGAAGCTGACAACGTAATAAGCTTACTGTGATATTGATTTTGGTCACATTGCCCGGCTTTGTAAGGCTGCAAAACATTCATGTTAAAATAGTTAGATGTTTTGACAATTTGCATATGAATTTAGAGTTCAGTAGCAAAGCCACTAAGGCCTGGCGCGTTCATAGACCAGGCAAATATGCCAGTTGAATTGGAAATGATCCACTCAACGTTTTCTTCAGTGAATTTGAGATGCTCTTGGAGTCTGCAAAATAGTATCCAGCATTCTGTTGGCTTTTCACATTCAAAAGAAAAGCTGATATGTTATGACTAATGCTTATAGAGATTTTTATTAGTTTGGACTGTTTGACTGTTGAATAACTAACAGCTATGGTTGCTACTTGCATAAGCTCTAAATGAATGGAACCAATGAGGTGTCAATGTTAGTGATGTTTTCCTGTTGAGCTATAGAAGATCATGTGGTAGAGTTGTACTTACTGCCTATGTATAGTATTCAGTGCAAAGAGCTGCCCAAGCCCCTCAGCGATCATTATTCCTCCACAGACTGAGACGAGCCAACAAATAACCATGAAGTAATGTTGTGTGTTAACTCAGTGACAATGAGTGGTCTAAACTGTGACAACAATATAAAATAAAACTGAACAGATTTAACAAATCAAAGAAGATGAAACACTGTAAATAGCAGTAAGACCAAATGTTGTTACTGTGAATTAGTACAGGAAGAAGAAAACTGGATTCACAAACATCATAATGTATCTCCAATAAAAGAACTTTAGAAGTACAACAGCATATTTAATCTAATAGCACATACACATACATTGAGTCCACAAAAGCAAAAAAAGGATTTTATTTAAGTTACCTAGCTCAGGTTATTTGCAATGTTGTTTTAGCAAAGCACTGGCCTTAGACAGCTTGTGTAATAGCTAGCTTTGTCCACACTAAACTGATTGCAGATAGAACAAATGTATTATCTCAAATTACAGACTGCCATAAAATTGCTATAATCAATGCAGATAATGCTTCACCTGGGACATTTGGAGAGTAGACAAACGATGCCTGCCAGTATATCTGTGTTCACAGATCTGTCAGTTAAACTGCTATGGGACTGTGCCAGCCTCACTGTGGCCAATATGAGTGGTTTCCCATGTGTATCAGTTCAACATTTATTTGGCTTAATATATTTGCACTAACAAAATGACCTTGCATTACTCAAAACCCAGTGGAGACAATAGTTACTAAAACAAGGTGATGCATCATACATAAATAAGACTCAAAAGTACATAGTCAAGTACATAAATACTCAAAACACCAAGTTTTGCAGATATAGTGGAAATTTGTTGTATACTAGCGAGCAATCATATGAACAAGAAGCACTAAAACAGGACTTTGCAGCTGTCTGATGCATCTAACCAGTCATTGTTCTGTGGTGCCCTCTGCAGGAGAGAAGACAGAGTTTCAGATGGAGGAGCTGAGGCGGATTACCAATGTCGGAACCAAAACCCCTGTATACATCCTCTGTCTAATGGAGCTCAAGAGGCTGAAGCATGTGGGAGGAGCCAGGAACACCTCTGTGTACAAACTGAACACGCACAACTAAAGGTTGCTCGGATACATTACTCTTCTGTCTGAATGGAGCCCAAATGTAGTCTCCTCTACAGTGGACTCACAAACACCTGCTTGTACGTCCATCTTTAAGTTACAGAGATGCTGCTCTATGGCTGTCTCTTATGCTTCTATCAATATACACTGTAAAAAAAGAGAACACTATACAAATGAACTTCACCAGAGCAGAGAAAGGAGGCTTGGTAACCTTTGTTTCTAGATTGTAAATAGTTCTGATGCATGGCTAGTCAATAATCTGCATTTATGTAGATTTATTCTGGTTTTAAACCGACCTGTATATAATAAAATCATAACACATTACTGCACATAATATGGAAATGAGCTGTCTAAAGATGATTATTAGTGCAGCATATGAAAAACTTACAAAATGACAAAAGTATGAACTCTGTATAAGCGCATGATCTGAACTCCAGTCTACAGCATTAATAATTAAGGCTAAAAAAGAGAAGCCCTCTATGGTCCCAGTCAACAGCTACCTTCCTACAGACCAGTGGGGACCCTGGCATTAAAAATATTGCACCATACCGTGAATGCACACAAGACTTCGAAGTAGCAGATATTTGATATTTGGACATTTTAACATGTACAATTCCATGACAACTGGGCAAATTGCATTTGCTAAGGAAGATGCAGAACAGCTACTAATCTGATCTTGTGGTGAGAGTGTTTAATCAACTTCTGTCTACAAGGTCAACTACTTTCAGTCTCAATTACTGTATAGTGTAGCAGCGTATAATGTCCACTTCATTGGCCCACCAAGGAGCCTAGTTCAGAATGAAAGTACACAAGACTTACACCAATACTTCTGGCCATATAGTGTATGTAAAGTCTGCTCTTTATCAGTGTTGGCTGCAGAAAGGGGAAAACCCAGAGACAATCCTCCTTGCACAGCACTCTAAGCCCGCTTGGTGTTCACTCCTGATCCAGGATCAGCAGCACACACTCAATGATCAGCAGAATCGTGGCTGTCGGCTGAGAATGAAAAACCGAGGATGTAACGTTATACCCGTGTTGTCTCCTAGCTCTACTAACTGCAGTCCTGCACGGTGACATTTCCGAGAACCATGGCAGCACTGACTGTGTTCAAAGTCGGGTACATGTCGAGGTAACCAGGGTAACGCCACAGAGTAGTAGCATGTAGCTAAACGTCAGCACTAAGCTAGCCAGATAACCGTTCCGCCAGTGTTTCCTCCGGCTGCGACTTTGTGTCGTTTGTTCTTTAGTTCCTCTCTTTCGACTCCTGAAACCAACATTAATTAACATTTTGGTCATTTCCACGACATCTGCATCATTAACCGTCACTTCAGGCCGTTAGTGTTGATGCAGCACCGCGTGAGTTAGGATCGCATTTCAGTGACGTCGCCCTGGGATTATCCAATTAGATCGCTGAACGCAAAGGACCGTTGATGACGGTATTACAGTTTTTCTCCCCCCCTCTGGTGGTCCACCATTTTGGGAGTCAAAACACAAATAGCAGCGCACACCTCCACGCTTCTCCGTGGCCTTACTATGGTTCACACATGTGTGGTGGCAGGCTGTAGGAACAGAAGGACACCCGGCACCACCCTATCTTTCTACCGTTTCCCCCGGGACCCCGAGAGGAAGCAGCGCTGGATAGCTGCTGTGAACCGAGAGGGCTGGGTGCCCAACGACGGCAGTCGGCTGTGTAGTACTCACTTCATCTCAGGTATGAATGCAGTCAACGTTACAGCGCTGAGACTGAAAGTACCCACCGTTTGTGTTGATCCGGGAAGATTAATGCTGCTGCAATCCCACATGTGGATAGATTTCCTGACTGACTGACAATTCATTTAGTTTTGATGTTGGTGGATTATTATTGGCAAACATTTATGGTTTGGTTGAATTTAGTATATCACATAATGGCATAATTAAAACGGGTAAATGCGCTTTATTATGTAATTAATAATGTAAATATTTTCTAAACCAAAAGTTATTTTTATTATCAATTAATTTCTTAATTATTTTTGATCAATAGTTAAATCAATAGTTATCTGAACCAAATTGAAGTCTTAAAGTTACTTACATTGACTATCAGCTAAAAACCTCAAATAAAGCTGTTTTAGTGATATTAATATAAAACCAAAACTATTTGCAGTTGTGGGGCTTTAAATATAAAATGATTTGAGAAACTTCTTATTGTAAAATTTCATTAGCTCACAGCTCAGTGCCAGGTATTTTAGTTTAGTTTCCCAAGAGACTGTAATGTCTGTTTAGTTAATGGTTATAAATAAGTGGGGAAACTGTGCATGTGATTTTTTTCACACCTTTTGTGTAATTTAAGTAGTCTTGTGTCTGCAAGTTTTGAGTCTTGTTGTTTTCCATGCTGTTGTTGATGTAACCTTGTTAAAAGACAACGTTTTTAGGAATGCATTAGCTGAACAGTCAGTATAGAATTATTTTCTTCAAGTTGCGCTCTAATTCGTAGCATAAAGATTTTCTCCATCTTTTAATGTGCACAGTGGAACAAATTAATTAAGAATAAGTTAGGTTAGATAAAGTTATTGTAACATTTTCATCTTGTTATTATTAGCTCAGTGTCAGGTATGTTTAACATTTTGCTGGTGCAAAATCCTACGTAAAACTGTTTATAACTGCAGCTATAATTTTCCATCAGAACAGGACCTAAAGTGTCACACCCAGAAGAAACCTCATTAAACACATCCGAATCCAAACCTGACCCCCAAAAATGTTGTTAACAAACTGCTCACTTTGCTCTTTTTTTGGGTGGGACAATGTACCAGCTCAGGCGGGTGGAAAAAGCATGGCTGCTTGCCCACTACAGTTTGTCCTCAAACCCTACTGACCAAAGGATACTGTTATTGGGGGAAGTGCTATAAACAGGCAAATCTATTTTTTTCTGTATTTTTCCCCATGTACTACATCATCTTTTTCTGCATGCAGGTAAACAGGTGAAGAATCCGCGTTCGCCGGATTATGTTCCTTCTGTGTTCACGACAGCTCCCTTATCCCCGGAGATGAAAGAGACAGGTGCCTTGGAGATCCTGGACAAGCAGGAAGCACGCGTGGAGGCGGCCAACGCCTTGTTGTTCCTGCAGGGCCAGGGCAGGTCTGTAGTGGGGGAGCGGGGCCAGGTTGAGCATACTGAGGAGAGGGAGCAGGAGGCCGTTGTGGAGGAAAGTGCGTCCTCTTCCCTCAGCACTGATGAAGACGATGGCGAGGATGATGAGTCTATGAGTGACAGCAAGAAAGGAAGGTTCGCTCAGACTTCTGATGCACAGGTGAACTTTGACGACATCCTGAAGGCCCTGAAGAAGGAGAACCAGACCCTCAGGGAGTCTGTGGAGAAAATGTCCCTCTCTGAGAGCTCTTTGAGGAACGATGCAGAGAAAGTCAAGTTTTACACAGGTTTACCCAACTACTTTGTCCTAGAGACGGTCATGTGGCTGCTGGCACCTCACATGGACGGGATGAAAAACATGAAGCTCTCAAAGTTCCAGCAATTGCTGCTGACACTGATGCGACTCCGCCTGGACCTCCGCAACCAAGACCTAGCCTACCGCTTTGGTGTGAAAGTCGGCACGGTGACCAGGACCGTGCACCAGATGGTCAGCATCATGTCCTCCACTCTGGTGCCGACGGCCGTCTTCTGGCCTTCTAGAGCCGAGCTCCGGAAAAACCTGCCGGCCGCTCTGCGCACCTCCCACCCTGACTGCGCTGTCATTATAGACTGCTTCACGGTGCCTTTTGAGGAGCCGGTTTCCCGGGGCAACCAGCAGCAACAGCAGAGGGTGGTGCAAAGCTCTCACGGGCTGGGGACAAGTTACAATGTGTTAAAGTATCTGATTGGTGTTGCTCCTCAAGGCGTTGTCACCTTCGTCTCCAGGGGCGTGCTGGGAAACGTCAGTGACAAAAGCCTGGCTGAGGGCTGCGGCCTTCTGTGCAAGCTTCTCCCAGGTGATGTCGTACTGGCGAGTCGCGACCTCGACATTGCCGATTCTGTGGCTGCTCGCGGAGCCCTGTTTAAGATTGCTGGCAGCTACCAGGGAGAGGCATACGGGAGCTCAGAAGGCTCGCTACAGGCTGATGCTTCCTCCGAGACAGTGAGTGTGCAGAGGCATGTGGACAGGGTGATCTCCATGGTGAAGCAAAGGTACGCCATGCTCACAGGCCCTGTCGAGAGCCCCTTCACCACAGCCTCTGAGCGCACGTCGAACCTCTCAACCTTTGATAAGATTGTGCAAGTTGCCTGTGCCTTAAACAACCTGTGCATCTCTGCTGCTCCACTAGAGTGATTCGTACAGAAATGCCTAGTGCTCCTCAATGCTGGTCAGGCACTTAAGTTCCCTTTACTGCTTTGGACCTTATTCCATGTTCTCCCACCACATCCCTGCGTCAACACTACACCGTGACTACCGAACTTATACTTTATACTCACCCACTTTAATTTACACCTCCAGTGTATGTGTTTCCCTGTTATCTAGGTCGGTCTGTACTTGGAGATGAGAGCACGTCTCCCAAATCCAGAAGCCACATTGCTAAGATGTGATGTCATTAAGTTATGCAACTGACAAAGAATGGCAGGCTTGCAAAGGATGTTATTTTTTTTGTATTTAGGCTTTGAATGACAACCATGCGAGTAAAATGTACCTTCGTTAGCCTTTTGTAAATACTGAGGTATATAAACTGTAGTTTGGGTGGTGCAGGCAATGTTCCCACTAATCCTGTGCCATGCTAGAGTCTGCAAGTTTTTTTTTTCATCCCCAACAATTACTACAGCAGCTGACTTCACTGATTACTCCCTCTCTCTGCTGCAGAAGGGGGTTTGTTGGTTAAACCAGCTGTTTTGTTGCCTTTCCCTGCTTATAAATCAAGAACAGTACACACAATTCAAAGATATATAAAACCGGTTAAAGAACAGCATGAACAGTACAGCAGCTCATAGAGAAGAGTCTCTCCTACTTGATCCACCATGCAGGGACTGACACATGTCATGGTTAACGAGGGTTTTGAGGGATTACTGGGTGTACACAAACTTTCTTTTTTTTGGGGGGGGGGGGGTTACATGTTTTAGCCTGCCAGCTAGGTTTTATAACAACAGAATACAATCATTATGGGACGATTAGCTACCTGTTAGCACAGACAAACATACCACCCACAGACCAATTCACTAGCATATGGCCAGAGTCTGGTGTTAATTTATCTGCTGCGCTCTCTGGCTGTACAGAGACAGCTCATTTCTGGGAGGTCTTGACTTTTCCTGGTTTACCGCATTTTTTTCAACAGGGCTTTACCGATACTGATGATTTTTACGCAAAATAAACAGCCCTGCCTGCCGGAACTTAAACTGCTGGGTGGCAAAATAACTGAAATGGACCAAAAAGAAAACTAGTTTTCACCACAGGTCAGGATTAACTACAATACAGCCCTCATGGAGTGTTAGGCCAGGTGGATGCTCGTCCACTCAGTGGGTCCAACCTGGGCTGTACAATGAACAATGATGTCAATATCTACCACGCCACAGTAGTGTTTAAAGATGTTTGTGCAGGGTTACATTTTTATTTCTTTTTAAGTATTCCAGTGCAGTGTTTTGCCAAAATGCCTTCTTATTTAATATAATGCTCGAGATTTCTAAAAGATGTGCTGGTCAGGAAGGAAAGATTACTGTTGTTTCCCATGTTTCCATGTTCATTTTCCATAAGTATATGTTCGTCTAACATCACATAACAGGGAGCAGGACAAACTGATTATATAGTGTGTAGCCACTGACAGTTCTCAAAGAAAAACGTCACAAGCAGGCGTTTCTGTGCTGAAATTATGCTCCATTCTCTGTAACATGCCTCTGCGATTCTCTGCAGTCACACTGAGTCAAAGTATCATTACACGAGATACGTTATAAAAGGAATGATTTCCCAAAGGCAACCAGAGTGGGTTTTTTCTCCCTCAGACACTGAAGTGTTGTTGACAAGGTTTAATTAACACTTTGTTCAGTTGAGCATGTCCGCTTCAGCACTTGGAGAATGTACATTTAATTTGTGACTGTGTAATTCTCATCGGCTTTCTTCAGTGTGTTCTGTTCTAATTGACTGTAACCGTTTCTGACCATGAGAGGATACCACAGAGACGTTTCTGTTAGTTACAGTACAAGCTTGGAGGCTGTTTTCAAGAAAGGTTACCCAGCCGTTAAAATGCCCTTTTGGTGTTTTTAAAAGTCAAATTAAGCTTAAGGATATGGGCTTGCACACAGTCGCATTAACTGTGTTTGATACACAGTTTGTTTTGAGAAAACATGTCATTATGATTTTCCTGCATGAAAAAAGACCCTGCTTATTTCTTGTCCTCCGTTGCTGGTGCCTTAGTTTATAAATCTGGTAGAACTCGGCCTGTGTTTTCTATAAATAATATTTATTTTTACATCATACAGCTTCAGAGCCTTTTCTGGTTTGGTTAGTGTGCTGAACGTGCAAAAACAGTCAGCACTCAAATGTTAACAAAGCATCCCTCATCATTATTTTAAGTTGTGTGTGTGTACAGTAAGAAATGTTCCCATTCATTTTGACATTTTATATTAATCACATTTCTATCATTTAATGTGTACACAGGGCCTACAATTAATTGGAAACATTGTTTGAACACAACAGAGACTAACCTGGATCAGTTCTATTGCCGGGCTTTAAAAGGTGTTGCTTCACAGACGGTGTTAGGTTCAGGTAGGCATGCTGTGGAAGCCCAAAGTGGAATGTGCCTTCTGTTCTCAGGCTGCTGGATGTTCCCTCCCATGTGTCCTTCCATGTGCTCGCTATGTATGCTCTTGTTCCTTAGGTACATCAGTCGGATATTCTTTCCACTTGCGTCTTTTATTTGTATTTATTTGTATTGTTTTTTTTGGTAGCACTTTCTTTTTTCGGTAGCCATGGTGGTTATCACTGCTAATGTCAGCTACCCAGTCGGTCTTCTGTTCACTCCAAACGAACCAAAAACAGCACAGTTGATGGGAAAATATATGAGACATTCTGTTTTTAACTTCACTGGTGCATGTGTTTTGTGGATGATCAGACATGCTTCCTTTTCTGAAGTCTTGCTTGTTGCTTAAAGGGTGAAGAAGAACGCTGTTAGACAGGAGAGTTGCTGCTAGACTGAGAGTAATAACTCGAAAGTGGAAGCAAGACTGTGATGGGTACTTTGACATATTTTTCCTTGGATTTTTCTTACAGCCAAGTTATGTTTTTATTTTTTATTTGTTGCTTCTGAACGCATAAAATGCATCACTTCCTGTATACTAGAGAAGATTGTTAGCAGGTGAGACCTGGTTGATGGTTCACATGAACTCCTACTCTAAAACAAACAAAGTGCTTATAGGTTGAGATAAATGAAACATGTTCACAGACAAACTGGATCTTTTTTTTTTGTTGTTGTTGTAATCGCATTATATAGTTATCTCTGTTTATCTGATACTACACTTCTATTACCATGCTATTTGCCTATTGTTATGGATGCACGTGCTTCCATGATGTGTAAACCTCTGAAGGTTTCATTTCTTGTCAGTTTTTCCTCATTATTGCCTCTGTGACTGAAAAATTAAAGTTTGGGAAATGGAAAAGCCTTTTGATTCTTCCTTAACACTGAGAGAGAGTGTGTGTGTGTGTGTGTCTTTTTTATCTGTGTGTTTGTCATTGTGATAATTGATAATAGACAAAGGCCTTTATTTGCATTCCCGCTGCTTCGTGGCCTTTGGCTCATTGGTAAAGATTCCTTCCAAGGCCAGAGAGGAGGAGTGACTGAGTAATGTACTGATATTTTTTGATATATGAAGGAGAGAAATACTTTGGAGGAAGCCCCGCCTAGAATATGTGCGGTCAGAGGAGGAAGAATCAAGATCTCTCACTCTGTTGCTTTTTTTTTAAAGCCACTATGAAGAATATTTTGAACATTTCTGCCTTTGGTGTCCCCGGTGGTAGTAGACTGTAATGCTAGCTGCTAGCATGTAGTTCCCCTACAAGCAAAAAATGCCATTAGAATAAATTCTGAGATGCTGTTTTAACATCTGTGCAATGCTGCATTTTTCTTGCAGTCTTTCTAGATAACACCTTGTCATTCTGACGTTTTCTCATTTTTTCAACACTTTTCATTCCTGGAAATAAAAAAACATTTTACTATTTACATTGCCAATCATTCAGTTCTCATAATTTTAGTAGTAATCCCACATTTGAAGTCTAAATGGTAACATGCTGCAAAGAATTCAAGCTTTGACATTAAAGCTTGGCATTTTCCTCCTAGGAAAAAAAAAATGAAGTAACTGACTTTTTACTGATCACATTCAACGAAACAGGACTGTTCAGGCGGACAAGATAGTACAAACGTATAGTCGCTGGCAGCTGAACCAGCCACTGAGTGAGCGCTGTGTCCAATAGGCGATCTTTGGCTCCCTGCTGACGTGCGTCGGTCCCTCACGTGACCTGTGGAATGTTAACAATGCAGCGAGTGTCCAACTTTGTGCTGCATTTCTGATCCTGCCTGGAGTCTGGGGAGAAAATGGAGGCTCGTTTCATCACATTTACCCAGTTCGTCCGTCTTCACTGAGCCCCTCCGCTCTCTGTACGCGCTCCTCAACCGAGAAATGGACTTTTAGAGTTGGCGTTTGACGGGATTTACCCTCCAATCTGAGTTATTCTCGCTACTTCTATCACATGGTAAGTTGAGACTTACTTTTCTGGGGAGGGGAGTGGTGGTGTAAAGTATTTCCACGACTTGTTGCTGAGGAAAAGTTCCGTCACGGGTGTGTTAAAGCGAGGGGTATAGAAAAGGGAATGTTTTTTTCCTCTCGCTTTGAGCCTCTTTGGGGATAACAGGACTACCTCAGTTGTTTCTGCACAGGAATGTTCCGGTGCTGCCCCCCTCAGCCCCCAGCCCCAGCCCGGGATACAGTTGGGAAGGCCACGGGACGGTAAAACAGGGGTTTCCGAAAGTGTTCATGTCCAGGGGCCCCAGGCAAAGACTGTAAACTACACAGACACCATTTTGTAACTGTATTAAAGCTGTGGCACAAATGTGGAGAGTACACTTCCAAACAGTATAGTCTGGTTTTATACACCATACCATGTTGCTAAGTAATTGTACTTATGCTGAAATGTCCATGTTTTGCAGCAGACCTCAACTTGGGGACCTCTAAAGGGGCCCAAACTCCATGTTGGGGGCCACTGAGTTATGTTACAGGAGGTGAAGCAGCTCTAAAGCTTTAGATTTGCTGCTAAGATGCGTGTGTATCACAAGAACTTGCACTTATGTTTTAGTGAAGTTTCTAGCACAACACTGCATGCACAACTCTATAATAATAATAATAATAATAATAATGCAGTGGTAACATTTGGGTTAACAGGCTGTAAATGTCTCCAAATGAACCCTGGAATTATTAGATATGTTTTAACATTTCACAAATCAGACAAATAGTCTGCTTGGGTAAAAGGGGGGAAAGTGGAAAAAAAAAAAAGAAATGTTGCTATTTTCACTGTAGTCCAAGCCTAAAGGCCTGCATAGTTTGGCTCTGATGCAACCATGTGTTTCATTCAGGTGTGCTACTACTACGCTCAAGCACACACACACACACACACACACTCTGTCTCTCATTCAGTTTGACACACTTTCACTACATTTAATTGCCCTGGCCTTATCAGTGCAGCTGTTTGACTTGTTAAGAGCTCACCTGGCAGTAGGGGCATGGTGCCTTCAGTGCCAGCCGACTCCTCAGCGCTGAGCAGCAGGCCTAAGTTACGCAAACCGTAACACCAAAGTTTTATTTAGAACCGTTATGTTCCTGCCAGTGTGTTTCCTAAGGCGCGAGGTCACATTTGTGAAACAATTGGGCCTATTATGCTCGGGTTATAGTGGTGCGACTGTGTTGTCAGGTATCGGGGCCACAGCTGGATGTAATTCTGTCAGGCTGCGCTGAGGCGTCCGTCAGGGGAGAACCACAGGGATGACTGCAGTGGGAAATCACTGCCGGACTACAGACAGATGTTGGCAGATGTTGGCT